ACACCGAGAAAGGGATATATTGAGGGTGGTGTGCTCACTCTCAGCTAATATTCTCAAAGTTTAATATTGAGTTGATGTCAACTCATAGTGACCCTATAGGACAGAGTAGAAGTGCGTCTGTGAGTTTCCAAGACTGTAACTCTTTACAGGAGTATAAAGCCTCTGTCTTTCTCCCTCAGACCAGCAGGTGGTTTTGAACTGCTAACATTGAAATTAGCAGTCCAACTAGTAAACACTATGCCACCATTATTAAATATTACAGAATGTGTATTAGGTATGCAAGTAACTAGACATATGCTTTTGGACAAGGTTTGGTCTCCTTAGACATCAGTTTTTAGGTAGGATGTAGAGGATGGAACTAGATATCTTAGATTCCCTGAGTTCTCAGATGTAGGAATTCAATGCCTTCCGGTATTTACATTGTCTATGCAGAGCTTTGCTTTCTATAGATAGCATTTATGTACTAGGAGTATATACACCTTACACATTGTAATATTATTCTAATCAGTAAGTGAGTAAAAAAATGCTACCTAGATGAGTTTCCTAACTTTAAACTGTCTTGGTTTGATATGCATATTAATAATTTAGTGCCTGTGTTTCCTACCATCAATTGGTCAAATGAACCCCTTCATTTATTTATATATTGTAAACAAATATAAACAAATAGCTTCTGGATTGGGAAAGTACTGATTTATTTGAGGCTTAAGTAAGTGTAGTATATTTGAGCTATGGAGGGAACCAACCAATTAACTTTGAAAGGAAGTTTAAAGGTCCTCAGATTAACTACAAAATTAGACTCCGTGCCAATCAAATCAATCATGCTTGAAATACAGTGAAAGAAGACAGACATTCCCATGCTGCCTCAGTCCTTCAGTTATTTGATTGTTTTCTATAGATGAACACATTGATGGATTTGACTGATAAATGAATGAGTCTGTTCAACCAATACGTTTGATGAAGTTAGCAAACACATTGATTCATGCGGGGGATAGAGTAGTGAGTTAGACAGGTATTTCCTACCTTTGTGAAGCCTTAAATATAGTCTTGATTGAAGTGTTTCACAGCCCGGCTTTGCCAGGAGTTGGTGTGTTAAATCAAGTAAAATTCTGTAGGTGGTGATGATGGCGGGGTTGGGAGAAACTCTGAAAGTAGCTTTTCTGAAAGAAAGTGATAGAAACCTGAAAATAACAAGTGCCATTTATGGATTTGCATGGACTGTGGAGGGACAATGGAACAAAGTTTTGAATGTCTCACATCATACAGCAATTGAATTCAGAGTCCAGAGTGCTCATCATAACACTATGAAATCAAACATTGAATGACACAAATTCAGAACCCAGAAACTTAGGCCCAAAGAGCTCTTTTGGAAATTAAACGCTGTCCCAGAGAAAACTCTCTATTAAGAACTCTTATATGCAATTAACCTCTCACCCACTCATCAGAATTTTTAAATGGCCATTACTCCATTGGTACCACTGGACATACTGCTTCCAGGTGAGGGACATGAAGAGTAGACTTTGAATGACAGAGTCAATTCATCTGATGGAAAACTCGAACACGGGGGAAATTTTCATCCCTCATGGTACCACGCATCTTGGTTAATGAAACTAAAAGCAATGATGGTGTTCATTCTCATACTTCAGGAAAGCTTGGGGGAAGTATATGTTTATGCTGTAATATAGTATTTGTTTCGTCAGCTCCTATTGGGATCAAACTCAGCAGCACAAAATAAGTAGTCACCATATTTCACTGTCCCTCCAACGTTCTCATATTGAGGAGAAGCAAGCAAATGTATTCTCCAGGCGTCCCAACAGATGATATTAAGAAAATATCTAGTTCCTTTGAAAATTAGACAATATGGTTAGAATAAGTAAAAAGCCTTTACACATGACCTTAAGAAGGGGAAATACTAATTTGTAAGTATAAATTCTGGTGTTTCTGGTTTTTTAGTAGATTATAGACTCACATTAGGTATGGAGGTAGCCTTTCCTTGCAATCACACTAATGTGGCATGTCACAGCAGACACCACGATGCCACATGGGGCGCGTTATCCACCAGTGAGGTATGTTTTGCATGAATGTATGCAAACCATTGCTTATACAGTGTTTATGCTTTCATAAGACAAATTGCTTTTCAATGTTCTCTGAATCAGGATCGATCATATTTGACCTTGACTATTGGTCATTGTGTCTATCCTGGTGATACTTTTTCTTTCGCTGTAGTCTTCTCCTTTTCCTCTTTCACTCTTCATATTTTTGTTTGGAATTGAGCAGAGCAGCTACAAGCCCCTGGGAAGTACTATTGTAAAAGAGCCTTTTCCTTCACTCAAGAAAAGATAAGACCTGAAGGGTAAACAGCCGAGGGAAATAACCCATCACAAGTAAAGAAAGGAGGGATGCTTGTTAAATCACAGGCAGGTACATGATATAATGAAAACATTTCGTCTTCACAGATACCCTATCAGATTTCATAGTCATTCCCTTAACCAAGCAGAGGGTGTTAAAGACTCCTCAAGTAGCATAAACCCGCTGCCACTGAGCTGATGCCAACGTAGCACCCCTGTAGAGGGCTTCTGAAACTGTGGTCCTGACAGGAACAGATAGCCTCAACTCTCTCCTGAGGAGCAGCTAGTGATTTTGAACCACAGACCTTCTGACTTCTGGTCCAGGGCTTACCCGGCAGTGCCACCAGTGCTTCAAGGAACATAGGCCATGTGAAATGTAAATGAGACCAAGTTCAAATCTAGACTTCACTGCCTACAAATTCCATAAGATCAACACTCTCCCATCCTTCCTTCCCTACAAAATACTGAAATCCTAAAGGATGAAGGAAAATTTTAAATACATTATATGATGGCAAAATAATAAAAAACTCCAAACTCACTGCCATGTAGTCACTTCAGACTCAACAGCAACCCTCTAGGACAGAGTAGCATCGGTCCTGTGGGTTTCCAAGCTGGTGAATCTGTATGGGAGGAGAAGGCCTCTTCTTTCTCCCTGAGCATGGCTGGTGGTTTCAAACTGCTGGTCTTGAAGTGAGTAGCCAATGAGTAACCCACTCGGTTTACTCTGTGCCTGGATTGTTCTACGAACACTCTAACAACAGCCTGAGAAGGTTAAAAACAAATAATAGTTGCTGTTCAGTAGATTCCAATACTCCAATTCATTCGGAGGGATGAATTTTCAAAGCTGTGACCTTTCAGCAACAGATTGCCAGGTCTTTCTTCTGATTGCTGAAAATCAAACCAAGCTGACTGCCATTGTGTGAACTCCAACTCACAGTGACCCCCATAGGGTTTCTGGGAGGCTGTCAGTCATTATGAGAACACACAGCCATTAAAAAAAACCTGCTGGTGAATTTGAACTGCCAACCTTAGGTTAGCAGTCCAAAACTTACCCAACTGTTCCACTGGGGCTACCACAATGCCTCTGGGTAGATCCAAATAATCAACTTTTCTAGTGTAGTCAGTCCCTTAACTTGTAAGCATAGAATTCAACATGTCCATGTGGCAATAAGTGCTCAAGTATAATAGACTAGCTAGTGGTTTCTTGTGTTCAGTGTATTGTACACATCATTAGCATCTGTATGAGAAGGAAGGAAGAGCTTTGTTGAATCTGACAAATGAATTAAGTGAAGATTGGTTAAGAGAACTTCCAGTGCATTACTACTGACCGCTACAATAGATTATCTTATTAGTTCTAATGTTTTCCATTGCCTCTGTTGTGTTTTCAGTTAGACAATCAAATACTCTGCATCGTTTTCTGCCTCCTTGCATTGGCTAGATCTTAAAGCATGAAGTTAAACTAAAGCAATGCTAGCCTTTTCATATCAGTGTATTTTACACTCAGCTGGGCTGTGTTTCTTATGTGAATGTGAGAATCTGTCTCTAATAGAACATTAACTCCATTTTTATTTTCATAAATGAAATAGTTATTTCTCAGCTTATTTTTAACCAGTTCATACTTGCTCACATGTTCCTTCCTTTGTGGCTTTTACTGTCTTTCCTATCTTACTAGGAGCTGGAGTGGGTTACAAGTCGGGCTGCTAACTGCAAGGTCAGCAGTTCCAAACCACCAGCCACTCAGCGGGAGAACAATGAGGCTTTCTGTTCCCATAAAGATTTACAGCCTTGAAAACCCAAAGGGTCAATGTTATGGGGTTGCAATGAGTTTGAAACAGCCAATGACAATGGGTTTGTTTTTTGAGATTATGATATCATTTACAGCAGCGGTTCTCAACCTGTGGGTTGCGACCCCTTTGGGGGGCCAAATGACCCTTTCACAGGGGTTGCCTAATACATTCTGCATAGCAGATATTTACATTATGATTCATAACAGTAGCAAAATTACAGTTATGAAGTAGCAACAAAAAAAATTTTATGGCCGGGGGTCACCACAACATGAGGAACTGTATTAAAGGGTCACGACATTGGGAAGGTTGAAAACCACCAAATACAGACTAAAGGAGGCATTAAGAATGCTTCTAGGTTACCAGTAATGTTCTATTTCTTAGCATGGACAGTTTTACTGGTGTGTTTACTGTACAGAAAACAAATCAAGGTTTGCAATCTTCTCTGAATGTGTGCTGTACTGCAGTAAGAATCTTTACCACAATCCAAGCATAATCCATTTATTTAATTGTGAAAATGGCTACACAACTCTTTGGTGTAATTAAATATGAGAAAAGAATTAACTCGTGTCAACATGGATTGCAAATCCCAATTAATTGTTCTTCAAGAGATATGACAGCAGAATCATCCACATGCCTTTTTAACCAGGAGCTTCTGAAAACGAGCATCCATTGTATGTCATGAAGTCTTCCGAGGAGAAAATACATCACATCCTTTATTGGCAATTCATTGCCAAGCATTGTGATTGGAAACCAGATGCCCGGTTGGTAATTGCAAATTCAACCATGAAGTACCAGGTCTTTTGATTCAGACAATTAAGCAAGCAGCAGTTAAAGATTCTGCCCTTTCTATACTTCTTTTGCAGGAGCAATGTTTGCCTGGAACTCTATCCTCAACCAGTCGGGCCCCACTGAGTTTGTGTTCCGGGTGTTCACTGCCGTCCCTGAATTCCAAGCCCTCCTCTTCCTCCTCTTCCTCCTCCTCTACTTGATGATCCTGTGCGGCAACACGGCCATCATCTGGGTGGTGTGCACGCATACCTCCCTCCGTACCCCAATGTACTTCTTCCTGTCCAACCTGTCTTTCCTAGAAATCTGCTACACCTCCGTGGTGGTGCCCTTGATGCTCGCCAACATTTGGGGGGCCCAGAAGCCCCTCCCCTTGGCTGGCTGCGGGGCCCAAATGTTCTTTTTTGTCACCCTTGGCAGCACGGACTGTTTTCTCTTGGCTGTCATGGCTTATGATCGATACGTGGCCATCTGCCACCCACTGCACTACACCCTCATCATGACCCAGAAGCTGTGCATCCAGCTGGTGGCTGGTGCCCTGGCCCTGGCCCTCTTCCTCTCCCTGCAACTCACGGCCTTAATCTTCACCCTGCCCTTCTGTGGACACCGCCGGGAAATCAACCACTTCCTGTGTGATGTCCCTCCCGTCCTGCGCCTGGCCTGTGCTGACACCCGAGTGCACCAGGCCGTCCTCTATGTGGTGGGCATCCTCGTGCTGACCGTCCCCTTCCTGCTTATCTGCGTCTCCTATGTGTTCATCACCCTGGCCATCCTACGCATCAATTCTGCCGAAGGCCGCCGGCGGGCCTTCTCCACCTGCTCCTCCCACCTCACGGTGGTCTTGCTGCAGTACGGCTGCTGCAGTCTGGTCTACCTGCGTCCCCGCTCCAGCACCTCAGAAGACGAGGATCGCCAAATCGCCCTCGTCTACACTTTTGTCACCCCCCTGCTCAATCCCCTGATTTATACTCTTCGAAACAAAGATGTCAAAGGTGCGCTGAGAAACGCCATCCTCAGCAAAGCAGCTGCTGATGCCCATTGAAGACTTCGTGAGATAGGGAGGGGTGCCTCTCCACTGTCGTCAAAATGAACTCTTGCCTGAAAGATACTTTGGGACATTTTGCTCCTGTTATGTCTCCCTTACCCTATTTTCCCCAGTCTGCACTCATAGGTCCAAGTGCTTTGAATCAGATATGAAGATTTGTACAGAGCTTCCAATGTAGGCAGCGCCAATCTACTTGCTGTCAAAAGCCATTGAGTCAATCCCTGGCTCATGGCAACCCCATAAACTATAGAATGAAAACGCTGGTGGGACCTATGCCATTTCCATAATCAATTGTAGATGGGGCCATTGTTACCCGTAATGAACCACAGGATTTGCATTGCTTGATTTTCAGAAGAAGATCGCCAGGTCTTTCTTCCTAGTCTGTCTTAGTTTGAAAGTTCCACTGAAATCTGGTCCGAATTGTAACTACATGCCAGGCTCCACTGGCAGATGAGTGGTGGCTGCTCATGAAGTGAATGGACTGGAAATCAAATCCACATCTCCCGCTTGGAAGATGAGGACTCTCTCCTGAAACCACGAATGCCCTCTCTTCATCTATGTAGTCCCTTCTTTAAAGGCTCATAGCTCACCCATTGCAATGGTTCTATCAGAAGACCCCTTACATGTGCTGTGACTGAAGAGTGATACCTTTAGACATCCTACTAGAGACTATGCAGTCTATGCGTTGAATGATGGTGCTGCAAAGAGTATGGAAAGTACCATGAACTGCCAAATGAACAAACAAATCTGTCCTGGAAGAAGTAGAGCCAGAATATTCCTTAGAGGCAAGCCTGTCAAGCCTTTGTCTCACCTGCAATGGACACATGGTCAGAAGAGACTGGTCCCTGGAGAAAGACATAGTATTTGGTAAAGCAGAAGATCAGCACACACCAAAAAAAGACCTTCAGCAAGATGGATTGACACAGTAGCTGCAACCACAGGCTCAAACATAAGGACGATTTTGAGGATGGCCCAGGCCCAGGCAGTGTATCATTCCGTTGTACATAGGCTTGCTATGATTCAGAACCGACTCAACAGCCCCTAATCACAACACCTCTTTCCTAAGCAATGATAGTAATTTATCCTGCAAAAGGTGCCTAGGCAAGGAATATTCATAAAGACATATGTTTTACTCAAAGAAACATGTTATGGTCTTAGATATTAATGTGTGACAAACATTTGCTCATTTGATATATCAACTTTGTTTATCTTCTGCTTCTCATCTGGTCTCATCTGTGTTCAGCCATGCCAGGCAACGGGCAGAAATTAGCATTTGTTGACTTAGAACATATAGTGTACCATAAAACCTGTGAAAACGGGGACCTATATTTCTACTCAATGATGACTCATAGTGACCCTCTGTGGGTTTCCAAGACTGTTATGATTTATAGAAGTTGAAAGGCCTGTCTTTCTCCTGCGGAGCTGCTGCTGGTTTCAACCTACTGACCTTGCGGATCACAGTCCAACATGTAACCACAACACCACCAGGGCTCCTGGAAACTCATATAGTTTCCACTAAAGAAGAGTGATAGGAAAAATAAGACTCGTCCTGTCAAAGGCAGAAAACTTGTGAAGCTCAGAAAAACAGGCCAGTCTCGCTGAGCTCTATCTGGAGCAGGTTTCCCTCTGTTAGCTCTGCCAGGGTAAGTGAGGACTACTTCTGATCCGTGCTAGCATAGAGCATCCACAGAGCATGTGATGGAGGGACTGCTTTGCCTCTCATTACCTCCTTCCTATGCCTTCTTTTAACGGCTGCTGCTTATAAGATCTACCCAGCAGGTGGCGCCAGGGCTCCTCTCACCTCACCACAGCCCTACAGCCGTGTGAGCTGTTGCCCCAGTTCCTCATCTTGAACCTCTCTGCGCTTCAAAGCAGGCCCACTCTGCTCAACGTTGTCACTTACAAGCTAAGAAACTTACCAGAAACTCCTTTGCCAGGACAGCGAAGGGAGGAGACAACCCGCAGAGCATAACACATCCAGCGCATACAATTGATTTTAGTTAGCAGCTCCGGGAAGAGGGTGAGAACGTCTTCTAATTGATGGCAAAACTAGTCTGAAAATGTGTTATATATAGCCTCTCTGGGTGTGAAGGAGGCTTGGTGGAACTGAGGGTCAGCATTGAGCTGCCAACTACAAGGTTGGCTATTAAAACCCACCAGCTGTTCCTCAGGAGCAACATGCAGCTATCTGCTCCTGTCACGAGATCGGCCTGGAAAACCCTACATAGGATTGAATGCGCTGAAATCGACTCGATGGCAGTGGGCTTTTTGTTTGTGTCTCTGAGTGTCATTTGACCAAGAGTGAACGGCTGTGAAAATGGTCTTGGTCCTCCCGGGCCTCACCACTTGGAACTTGTTCCATCTTGTCGGAGTCCAGGAGCTAAGTAGGGTCTGGTCTAGTGAGTACTTGGATGGGAAAATGTTCCTAGTCTTGGATTGCATCTAATTCTAAAAAATATGACCTCGGGAAATTAATAGATTCGAGCAAAACTGAAAAATTCAGGCTGTTTGTTACACTTATAAAGTGAAAAAAGAAAACGAAAATCTAAATGTCCAGCATAACCACAGCAGACTTTAAAGTCCTATCTAGTATGAAAGAATGATGTTTACAATTGTAATTAAGAGTGACAAAAACAAGATAAAAACCCAACTTATGGCATGGCTACATTTTGTAAGAATGCATACAGACACATATAATGATAACTAGAAAGACATCAAAACTATACAATCTGTTGTCTGTGGACTCTCACCTGACTGATTGCTTCTTCTTCCTGTGATCATTCTTTATTCATTCAAACATTCTCTGTGTTTTCTAAAGAAAGCCTTGTAATTCTTATCATCAGGAAAACAGCTTTTAAAAGGGGCCTGAGGCTCACACAGATTTATTGGGTGCTTAAAGCTCCCAAGGATTCTCCTCCACTGTTTCTGCTCTTCCTGGATGAGCACTTTTGTTGTTGTTGCTGTTGTTGTTACTTCTTTTCTCTTCAAAATTGCTTTGGATGCTTTTCATTTTTAAGCTAGTGTTACATGGCGATAAGGAGAAGAACTTCAAAATGTTACTTGGTCTGGAAACAGTTGTGAATATACCAATAGTTCAGAAATATCTCTACTTCCTAGAAAATTTGGGGGAAGATGAATAAAATCTGCTTAGACATATAATTGTATCCTCCAAAATATGTGTTGCACGTCCTAACTTCTGTGCTGGTGGTTATAACACAATTTGAGGTTTGTTTGTTATGTTAATGAGACATGATTCCTGTGGGTGTGTATTAAATCAACACCTTTTGAGACATAAAAGAGATTAGACAAGCAAGCTAAAGAAGTAGAAATGGAGGGAAAGTGATGCCAAGCCACACAAAGACGCCCCAGGAGCAGAAGCTCAGAACATACGAAGATTTTTCTTCAGAGTCGACGGAAAGAGAAAGCCCTCCTTTAGAGTCATGTGTCCCAAATTCCAGCTTCTAGTGTCATAAACTTGACTAAATAAATACCAGTTTGTTAAAACACTCACGGACAGGAAGCCAAGCCTTCTCCATTTCAATGAGTAGAGCCATGGTCTCCTGGATCTCAAAGAGTAGGGGCACAATCTCCTAGGTTTCAATCAGTCAAATGTTAAGGTATTGGGTGGGGGGGGAGGCTGCTGCCAGAAATGAGGGACCGAACTGCGATGCCCAAAGGGCAGAAGGGGGATTGTTCACAACTCAGATGGACTAGAATGGGGTCCCCTAAAGCTGAGACAGCAGAGCTGTCATCCTGGTGGGCCTGGAAGGCAGCACGGCAGCCCAGGACTGAAGATTCTCCAACCAGAATCCAAAGAACATGGTCAACACCCATGGCCATTGCCCAGAGGGGCTCAGAGAACAGAGAATTATTTTCAAGCCTTGAGAGCAAATGTAAATTAGTGGGTGAGTTTTGGACTTGCTTGGTGCCCGTTAACCCTATTTTCCCTCCAATTTCTCCACTTGTCATAGCAATGGCTACATGGCCCACCACTGTACTTGCCATCTAGATTTTTGCAGGTTCACAGATGAAGAAGACTTTTCCTCCAGGAAGGAATACACCTAACATCTCGCCTATGTTTGATTTAGATGATTCAGAAGATGGGAATCTGAACTTGGCGTCGAGTTGTCTTGTAGGATGGTGTGATGGTGTTAACGTGTTGTGCGTGTGAATTTTGGAGGCCAAAGGGTGGACATTATGGATTGGATTGTATCCCCCCAAAATGTGTGTTGTAAATCCTAACCTCTGTGTGTAATCATAATCCCACTTAGGAATGGGTTGTTTCTGCTCCGTTGATGAGACAGGATTAGTGTAGTATGTGTCTTAAATCACTCTCTTTTGAGCTACAAAAGAGATTAAATAAGCAAATCAAAGATGCAGAGGGGAAAGAGAGATGCCAAACAACATGAAGAGTGCCCAGAATGCTCAGAAGAAGCTAAGACCTTCCTCCAGAGTGGACAGAAAGTGAAACCCTTTCCCTAGAGTCAGCACCCTGAAATTGGCCTACTAGCTCCTAAAATATGAGAAAATAAATTTCTGTTTAGTAGTGTCACCTTTGTGGGTTATTTCTAAGATAGCACTAGATAATTAAGACAGGCAGTTGACTGTCAGCACACTCAGACTAAGGTATATGAACATAATGAACCAGTGGCATGGACACACTATGCAAAGGCCTGCCTAGAATGTCAAGGAAAGGTACAGTAAATTTGCCATTGCATTCCCATGCCTCCTTTTTTAGGAGTCCCTGGGTGGAGCGACTGACGAAAGCATTGGCAGTTCAAATCTACACAGAGCACCTTGGAAGAAAGCCCTGGTGCTCTACCTTCAAGCAGTCAGAGCCTCTGAAAACCTTATGCAGCACAGCTCTACTGTGAAACACAGGACATCACCACGAGTCGGAATCAACTAGATGGCAACTGGTTTTCTGGGGGTTCTGTTTTGTGAGGTTTTTAAAAATCTTTTTTTTTTTTTCTTTCTTCTTTTTAAAAAAATCATTT